TTACTGTCTTCTCTTACTTGAACACATAGCTTAAGACCCAAGACTGAGTCAGGGAGGCCACAGCAAGTGAACAAAATGAAATGCTCTCTTATAAGGCATTTTCAAGAAAGGAGACAGAAGCTACACTAAGTGCCTTTCTCCTGGTGAGGTGTTTGTCATCTTCGATTTTATCAGAAGATGATACAGAACTTCACTCCAGCAAATGGTATGTCTGGATTTAAGCCCAAGTTATCACCAAGGACTCAAGAGCGATTATTCATATCCTTCAATATGCTATTGAAAGGTGCTCAAATATGGTAATGAAGGTGGTATAAGAACAGTGCCTTATCAAGCTCCTATTTAATTTTTAAAGCTGATTTCTCAATTGAGTGCTGGTGGGAAGGTAGTAGCAAGTTTGTGCTCCCTTTTTACTCGAGTGTAAGTTCATGTACTCAAGGGTTAAGTTCATCTGTTATGAATTATTCTCCTTTATGTCTTTCCTTGCAATGTTATTCTTCCCTGTTCTTATCAGTTTACTTTTTCTTCTCTGAATGCCTTTGAATTTGAGCCCACATCAGAATCCTTACTTTTTTCTCTTTTTTTCTCTTTTTTCTCTCTCTTTCTTAGCTAGAGCTACACATAAGGAAGGATACTGTTTTCTGATTATTGTATGCTTTGTGTATCTATAGATTCATTCAAAATCTACTAAAACTGCATGTGGGGAAGTTGAAGTTTAAGAGGTTTGCGTTAACAGTAAAGGGTCAAGTTCAGCACTGATGTAAAGCAGATGAAGTTCATTTCTCAATTTGAGTGGCATGATATTACAGCTTCCATGTGCTTTCTGCTTATGAAGTTCCCTGCATTAGCACGGTGTATTGCTTTAAAGAAGTCTTCTACTTCCTGGGGACAATTCCAGGGTATGCTGTTTGTTCGTAATTCAAGGAGCAGTTTTGCTTGGTAAGTTGAACAAGTCTGTTTGTGTAATATAGTGTGTAAAGGGTTTGTTTATACAAGCTGCCTGGAAGGCAAAAAGCAGCCTTTTAAATAGTGCTGTCGGATAGTGCAGACTCTGGTGAGATCCACATGCCACCTTTTTACTGAGCTTGGTGTTTCTGTGGCTTTCTAAGTATTACTGGACCACATAGAGGAGAGGTGAGTCTTCTGAGTCTCCACCGCTGTTCCCACCTCACCCACTTACACACTTTTCTTTCAGTTTCTGTCTTGAACCCTTGCCTTGGAGTGACCACTTGCTTATTTTTAGGGACTTAATTTTAGTTTCTCAGAGCGTTTAAACTGTGTTGTTTATTTTGGACTCGTACACCACTTGGAAAGCCTTCATAGGCAGAACTCCCAATACCAAATTTTATACATCAGAATCTTTTCAGAGTGATGCTCTAACTAAAAAGTCAAAATTGTTTATGTGTCAAGTCCGTTATTAAAATTTGTAATTTTGTACTTAAATGGTTTTGCCTTCCTTATGAAGGAAAATAAATTTATGAACAATTAGTGATATTTTGTTTTACGGTATTATAAGATAACGTTATGGTTTACTTTGGCATTAGAACAGCAGGCAGAGGCAAATCCTAGCTAAAGAAGAAATGGTGTCTGGCATCTGGCCTCTTGTATAATTCAGCTTTAGTTTATGATACCTTGCTACTTGTATGTTTTTTATTTTTTAAGAAAAATCCCTGAAAAATCAACAGTTTTATCTGTGAGGTCTTGTGCTGTAAATATAAAATTTTATAGCGGAGTATAACTTTTTCTTAATGGAGATTTTTGAATGTTTATTATGCCTGTCTTTTTATGCCTGACGTAGATTGAATTCCACAAAGCATCTAAACCAAGATCAAGGCTAATTCCTCATTAACACAAGAAAAACAGACTTGGAGTCAGAAAGCCAAAGGTCTTTTACTAAGACTTTTTTTTTTTTATTTGACTAGTCTATAATATTCAACATACTGTGACTATTCAAACTTTTTGAATATTCTGTAGTTTCAAAAATTCATTGAAACTATTTTGACTTGGTAGTATCAATGAGACGATGATTTTCCAAGTAAGATTTCTATGCATCTACCATTTTGCATGTACACTGCTTTTATAAGTTAGTTGTTACTTGTTTACACAGAATCACAGAATGTTTAAAGTTAGTCCAGTATTTATTTGAAAGTACAGATATCCACAAAACTCGGGATAAATATTTTCTAAATATTTTGTGGGTTTTAGTAATTATCTATAAGTCAGTCATAATCCCTCTTAAAAAATATTTTAAATTGCAAAGTAAAAAACTTCAACGTTATTTTAAATCATACATATATATTAAAGGAATGTTTTCAGTTTTCTTAGCAGTATTTCTTCTGTTAGAGCAGAAGTAATTTCCTTCAGCGTCTGTGGAAGAGTATTTATAGGTATTTAAAATTTAGAACAAAATGCTGGTCATTCAGAATCCTAAGCAGAGTTCTGTTTTTATAAAATATGCAGCCTTTCAGGTGGGTATAATATTTTGCAGGTATATTGTACTTTCATCAGAATATCTCATACAATCTCCTGCTAGTTTCTGTCAGACAATGCAGACTCTTGTAAGAATATTAGCAACCTAAATAACTACCTAATTGCTTTTTCATCACAGTGCGGTGAAGAGGGTGTTATAAGATCTATTACAAGGTACAAAGAATAGGCTATTCTTCAGCAAACGCAAAGCTCTGTTATTATGGAGTAGCATAGCAGGACTAATTGTTGATTGTAGTAAATGTGTCGTTTGTCATGTTGAAGCATTTCCAGTTTCAAGTTCTGCTCCTTCGCGCACAGCAAGTGGTTCCATGGGTGAGAAACAAAACTACAAAACGAGTTCACTTCTTTGGTAATAGTGCAGGCAGTAAAAAATTCTGTTTCTGAATCAGAGCAGAATTTACCAACTTAATAAATGACTGCATCTGATTGTACTTGAGTCATTGCTGGAATTGTGCAGTGAAACCTGTTTGAAACAACCTCACAGTGGACTGAGAAATCTATTGGTTGGGAGAGGTGGTCTGCTGAGGAGAGAAAATCTTATACTTCTTACACATTAATTCATTGTAATGTGACTGTATTAGTGACCATTACAGACACTGTAATTCAAGTTTTATTTTCCTTCAGTAAAAGTAGGAAGCAAAGGACTTATACTTTGTGGTGGCCCCTTTTATATTTTTTTATGTGGTGTTTTGTATATTTCCCACAATTTTCTTGCTCAGTATGCCGTTTATACTACAGTGTGTTGAGTTCATTTTGTGGGCTGAATATCTGTATATGTATTCAAATATTTACTCTTCTTTTCATAAAATATATTTTTTTTCTGTAAAACCTTGAATTATACCGCAGCTGTCTACTGTTTTCAGTGCTCTTCTTGCCAAGCTCTAACCACTTGTATATATCATAATTGTGAAAATTAATGAACAAAACTATATGAGGGATATAATCAGCCTTGATGTTATTGATGACTCATAAAAATACACAAGCTTCAAAGTATTGGAAATATGAATTACTACTGTTTTAAGTATGTAATATTTTCTATTAATGATAGACCTTTGCAGAAGCACAAACTGCTGAAAGTCCTCTGGGTGCTTGTATGAGTGTGCATCCTTGTAGAAAATCACAAGTGAGCTGTTCTGGGTTTTATAGTTTTCCCCCTACGTCTCCCCCTTTCCCTTTCCCCTCAAATCCTTACCAGCATGTATCCTACACTGGATTTTGGCTATGTTAGCTACTCTTTGGGTATTATTTGATTAGGTGCTAATAGACATTAACTTAGTCGAACTGCAGGAGGTTTATTATGTGTCTTCTCAGCTAGTACATAAACTGTTTAAATGTTGTGGATTGCAGGAGTATTCAGTTTTGTTCACCTCACATGTAAATATTTGTAATTGTTGTAATTTCCCTGGCCCTAACAGGGGATAGAGTAGGGGCAACACAGATCACCCACAACCAGTATTTCTTGTAACACTTTTTCTTTATCAAACTGTTATTATTAACGTAATTGAGCTGCTGTTATTGATAGCAGGTAATTATTCATACAGCGTGTTGACTTATTTGCTCCCGTGGATCCCTCATGGATTTACCCATGGTTCACTGACTGGAGCATCAGCAGGGGAGGCTAGCTCTGTGTTTGGAAACAGAGGGTCATACTGCACCCCCCACCCCCAGCAGCTTTTTGGTAGGTGCTGAGAGTCCCTCCAGGGTCCCTTGTTTCATCAGATGTGCGTATATAATCCCCATAGTCTTTGTAAATAGTACCCACCACCCTCTTGGATGAGGTCTGGCTTGTTCGAGCTCTGGTTGATGCTAGCCTGTGTTGGTGGCTTTGGGCAGACTGGGCCAGATTCTGGTGTCCTGAGTTTGTCAGTTCTTGTAGGTCCAACAGGATTACTGCTATTCGTCTCCAGGGCTTGTTGGTCCAGAGGAAACTGTTAGGAATTACCTTCTTAGCACACACTTTTCCTCTCTCTTCAGCTTGCTGTTTCTGTAACTGTTCCTGCATCCATCCTATAGGTGCCTGTAGAACATATTCACACAGGCTTGCCAGAGGGGCCCAGCATGACATGATGCCATATCTGATAACTGATTGCCCATAAATTACAACTATAGTTGTTTGTATGATAGCTAGTAGCTATTATTGGTAGCATACCCTTGCCACCTTCATTAGTAATTAGCATTTTACTTATTTACATTGTTATTTTAATAATTTATTTAAGCCATCATTTGAATTCATTCCAACATGTGACTATATTACCAACAGTTACAGATAAAAAAATAACAGTTTTGTTTCTGGTAATATGATCAGAAGGCAAACGCTAACTAAAATACGAATTTATCACATCCAGTCTTGAGCTTGGTGCAAATGTATGTATTAAACCTACAGCTTTTATAAAAGAATCTTCTTGAGAGCACTGTTCTAAAATTTCTGGAATGTGTTTATGAGAATAGTTTTCTTTTTAATTTCTACTTAATAGCAAAATTGGTTAAGTCTTGATTTTAATGTGTTTCCACAGGTATATCTTGAAAGACTTTTAACTTATGCAGAGATAGATATTTGTCCAGCAAACTGGAAGCGAATTGTACTGGGTGCAATTCTACTGGCATCCAAAGTTTGGGACGACCAGGCAGTGTGGAACGTGGATTACTGCCAGATCCTGAAAGATATCACAGTCGAAGACATGTGAGTGCAGTATGTTTATCTTTGTCAGTGCATGCCAAGATCTGTGTGTATGAGGGGGATGGGAAGTTCTCTCATAAATTATATAAAGTTTGTATATCAGTGTTGTATGCAAACATGGTGGATACTGATAGATGGCATGAGGTTTGCTTGACAGTTGCTTACATAAGACATGAATTATTTTTGGTTTCTGGTTGAAGTGTGTTTTACCACTGGATGGTTCCATAGTGATGGAAACAGACCTGCAAGATATTTCAGTGTATGACTTGACAAAAACCCCTACATCCAATGAGCTTGCATGTGTTCACTTCAGCAACGTTTACTGTTGTGCTAGTTCTCCATACAGATAGTAGACCAACATGTAAGGCAGGAAAAAAATTGTTGTGATCCTAATGACCCTTAGATGATCACCCACTTATTGCCATTATTCAAAATTAGTGCTTTTGACATTTTAGGGGTTTTTTGCCCCTGTATCCTGTCAAGTTTGTTTCCAAGATGTTAAAAATCTAGTATATTAACTTGCAAAGAATTTCCATTTTTATGTTGGTTTTTTTTTTTTTTTCTCTGATGATGTTCTTAAGAAGCGCGTATTGTAACCGCACAGAGTTGGGATATCTGGCTGGATACTCCCGAGTCATATTGAGAGTATACTCCAACAGTAATCAAAAGATCCGTAACAAAAATATACTCAATTAAGATCTTAATGTTTACAAGTACTAAAATGAATACTCATTTCACTAAATAGTCTAGTGCTGCTTTTGGTTGGTTGGTTAGCAGGTGTTACGTATATTGGCTGAAGTGCCTGGGGTTTGTATCTTCTGTACGTCCAGGACTGAGTCACATACCCCACACACATTTTCTGAGGTGCCCTGACCTGAGCTGGCGTGCGTGCAAGAGCAGTACTGGAAGGGCTGCAGCTGGAATTGGCGCTGGGATGGCGCCAGGGGGGCCAGATGCCTCGACAGGCTACGGCAGCTCGTGCATTCGGAGAGTGACTTTTCCAGTCTACCAGTGCACCCCTTTTTTAATAAGAACTAGTAATAATAAAGTTATTTAAAAGGTGGTTTAGTACAGTATGTGTGTTTCAGGCCTGTTTTAAGCAGAGCTCAGTATCTGTAATGAGAATTGTATAGACTTCTCTCTGCTTTAACTCAAGTCAGGACCTCTTCAGATCTCTGAAGAGTTTGTTGTGGATAAGCACTCTGGGAAGAGGGAAGTAGATGAGAAGAAATGTTTATATAGACAGAAGGTTTTTTGAATCTCAGTTTGCAGTCTCAAAGCAATGAAAGGCCAAGCTTTGTTGCTAAAGCAGCCCTAATTTAGCTTTTTAATAGTTTGCTGTTTGCCAGATTTATAGCTGGTCTAAAATGATCTGGAAGGGAAAGATTGAATGTTAGAAGTCAGGTGATTGCTTTAAATTAAGCATGCTCATAGACTGCTAGATAAGACTTATAAATTGTGAGTAGCTGTCATTGCTCGAGTATTAGAAAAGTTATCTCTAAATCTTGAATTAACAAGAAATTTGTAATGGGATGGGTTTTTCCCCCCCGAATCAAAGTGAAAAATACAAAGCTTGCATTGCTGTGGTATGCTGTGCTTTCATTCATTTTGGGAAAAACTCTTGTTTTCAAAATAGAGGAGGGAAATACCATACAATGCCATTTCAGTATCTGTTTTAAAATATGTAGCTACTTTAAGGATGGTTGATGATAACTTCTTTCTAACATAACCCAGACAGAGTGAGATTTCCAAAATGAAAGGGATTAAGGGGGACAAGAAGCTAAAATTAGGCCCTTCACATTTCTGTGTGCAGTATTACTCCATGCAGAACATTTCGGTAATGCTTCCTTGACTGTTTTGAGTGTTTCCTGAATGATTTTGCTAAGCTACTTTTCCCTTGATCTTTTTCTCATGCTTTTGGGTATTTGGTGGCAGTAAGGGCCTTCCTCCATTCACTCCTCCTCCAAGGCAAATCTGGGAGCTTTTAAAGTTTAAAGTCCTGAAGCTAGGACACAACGAACTGAAGTAGAGGGCTGAACAGCTTGAAGCAGACTGACAGGTTTGACTGTGCCGTATGACAGTATTAATCAGGAATGGTTATAAATATGAGTTTTGAAATCGCTGATTCTCAGGGCTTTTTTTGAAGGTAGGTGATGAGGCGTACTGTGATGGTGTGAAAGGAAACAAAAAAAGAGGTTATTGTTTTTGACAAACACATGTGATGGTGCTACTGTTAGAAGTTGCACTTGAGCTATAATACCATTACTCACGTGGCAGACCTGTGCTCTGGTGCTAACATGAGCCCTCTTAATGCACTGCACATTCCCTAAGCTAAACTGTGATGAGTCCTTGTCCTCAAAGTTTTTAGCTGCTTCACCTTTTCTTGAAGGTCTTGGGGTTCTTACAAACAATAAAGCCAGGAGCCTTTGGGCAGCCTGTGCTCTATATGGTACTTGGTGTCCTGGCTCATGGGCTTTGTCTTTGGGGCTCCTTGTGAATCCTCCAGCAAAGATTTTGGTGCTTTTTGACCTGATGTTTATAT